GCATCACATAGGTCTCTTCAGACATATAGCATACTCTGCTGCAAATAATGTTAACACGATTGGGAAAAAAACACATTTGCTCACAATTGTCTTCAATTCAAAACTATAACAATAAAAATCTAAGCAATTCTTTCAATCAACAACCCAATCAAGCCTAATTAAGAGCTCAGGCAGCCCAAAAACAAGGATCAGAATTGAGAAACACTAATGTAGACCAATCAGGCACCCATATGCTTCAAGTCTGGAGTAACGTTGCCATACTGTGGTATCACTGTTTGCAAACAACTGTAATGATATCCATTTGACATAATTGTACAGCCAAAAAGCACAACTCTGTTTCAGTCTATGCAACAGCTTTATTTATACAGCTATTGTTGGTCTATTATTGCTCTTGTGGTGCTTTATTGTGATTACTATAAAGACAATTATGGTGAATACATAGTGTGTTATATGAAAAGAAGTTTTAGCACGGAGCATGGCTATAGTCTAGGGAGGTTAACACTGATCTACAATATTATTTTACCTAGAGTGTCACTATTACCTGATATGTTTCTGCAGGCTGAAATTCTGCTGCCCTATATTATATTGCCGGAGTATGACTATTATCTAAGATCTTATTACAGTCTGGACTGCAAGCATTATCTATGATGTTACTGCAATCTGTTAAAACCAATACTAATAACAAAACCCAGCCATTCCAATACAGATAATAGGAAATTAGGATCCTAAGACAAATGTTTTCACAGAATGTAAGTAGTAAGACATTCAGACTACGTGTATGTAGGCTTCTCTTTCAGGACCATTGTAGATATTCTTCTGAAGAAAGCTAGAAAACCTGGACACCCGTAGTTTGTAAGCTAAGATTAATCGCCTGTCCTAGAGTTAAAAAGAGAAGGTTATTGTGCTCAGTCAATGACGGAAGACAGAGGACACTGGCATTGCAAAGTCTTCCATCGTTATTCTTCACTGGAACAACTCTCCTCCCCAACACCGACCGACAGACACCAAAGCTCATTCTGACGCTCCTCTGGCACTGTCCTGCCCAGGTTGACCAAAGATTTATTCAGATTTTTCTTACTAACTTTCAAATCCTTTTTGTGCCTCACCGAAATGATTTATCCTTTAGTACAATATTTCAGTTAAAGAGGCTCTTGTTCGTGTGGGTATCAGTGGCCAATGTGGGAATGTCGCAGACTCCTGCCAGAGACCACTCAGAGAACACCAAAGGTACTTTTCTATGTGTCTCTATGATGTTTTAAAACCTCATGTTGAGGAATAAAGAAGAAGCCGATGGAGCTCCCAGGGTAGTCAGGAGTAACATAAAGCCCTAGAGTTCCATTATGCAGAGAAACCCAGAGTTTCCCTGGATACAGACACATACGTCACCAACACAAGAAACTCCAGAGATTCTCCTATAAAGAGCAATCCAGAATTCCCTCCATTTTGGGAGGCTCAGGCCGTTGTTTGTTGCAGGGAAAGACCCAGACGGTTCTTGATGCATCTCACATAGCCAATGGCTACCTGTCAGCGTCCAGTTCAAACACGGAAGAGATGAGATCATTGGTCCAGATCTACCTGGCACCAATAGGTAGTTACACACAGAGAACTACAGTTACTGCCTGAAATAACCATTATCACTTTGGTGTCCAAAACATGTTCTTCCAATAGATGACAATCTGATAGCACTGGTGCTATAGCGAGCTCCTCAAAGCACTAAACAATGCATGAAAAACATAAGTGACAACAGCAGGGCTCTCTAATGTTTCTTTTGGCTCTGATATCCGCACACGTCTGAGAACGTCACCTTCAGCCTGCCGCCGTGGGCCTGGCGTCCGCCACAACACAATAGAAGATGAAGAATGTATGAAGAGCAAAAGCCAGGATGGGGCAGGGCCTCTGTTCCGTCTGTGAGCGAGGGAAGCCAAGGCGCCCCCTGGGGGTGTGGGCCGAGCGATGCGGCTTTGTTCCTGGCTATGGGCAAAGACTGAGACACTTTGAAGGCGCCGGGATGGCAGTCAGCTCTGCAGGCTTTCGGCAGCCAAAGGAAGCGGAGCACTGGAATGATAATAGCCTCTGCAAGGCCTGCTGGGTAAAGGCTGCATGTGGCGCATAGCAAGTCAGATAAGGACAATTATCCAAGCGTCCATATCCACGGGTACACGCCGAGGATGAGATACGCACATGCACACACATGTATGAAGAACAGTGAAGACTATCTACAGACAACCAAAAGTAAACAACGAAAAAAGCCTTTCCTCCCACAAATGCAAGAACAAAGAAATAGCTGGTCGCTTTGCCGATGCATAATGTATTGGTTTATATATGAAAATCATCTACACTAAGACACAGAAACTTAAAAAATAGAGTGAGATTGATAAATATTACACAGTGGCGCCATCAAAATATCTTTCTAAATGCGGAAGTGTCACAGGAGGTGGGCTAAAATGCTGAGGTCACAGTGAACTTTTGTGAAGACAAAGGCATCCTATGAAATCCATTCCTGGACGTTCCAGGCCTGCACAGGCAGAACGGCAAATGGGCCCTTTTAAAGTTCATTTCAGATACCTAGGCTGGATACAGGCTGGCTATGAATCACAAACACACCGGGAAAAAATCAGCTAAGCTTATGACAACAACATTTAAGCATGCAGCACATACCTATGAAACGGAGACAGATACTGGAGATCATATGTACAGAGTACGGTAGGATGAGTCTTTATTGTCGAATCCACCATACGTACGAGACACATGGAGGGGTTGAAATTATGTGACTCTCAGACTGCACACTAAGTGCACTAATAACCACAAGCAAGACAGATACAAGTATTCAAATACTTATTAGATATTTCACTAAATTAAATACTGAATACTGTTTTAATTAAATTAAAACAGCTCTCTGTTCACTATGCTCTGTTCAGAAGTTCAGAAGGGCTTAGGTGTAAACATCTTGGACAAGTGAAGCAGCCACTCTGGCTTTTTGTACCACTGACCACTTACCACATGCCCTCTAGACCCCTCTTACACCCCAGTTGCCCCAGTGGTTTAGCTACCATCGCAATCCAGCAATCATTTATATTCCAGCTACTGGCAGAGAACCGCTATTACCGTAGTCAAGTTACATATCAGCCGTCACGATGCACCGGCATCACAAGCCCTGACCTCACCAGTCCGTCATATGTTTTCCCGGGAAGAAATCATCGAGCAATTGCTCCCGAGACAAACCATTTTTTAACATCTATTCTACAAAAAAAAAAGCACATACGTAAAAGCGGGAAAAACAGAGGGGGCCGCTGGGGTTCGAAGATGGACCGGCGGAGATCTGATATCTGACGGAGCACATGGACAGCCGCCCCCGAAGCCTCAGAAAAGCCACTTGTTTCATTTCCCATCACAGATATCAGTAAGCCCCCACTGTGGAGGGGAGTAATGGGATCGGCAACGCACACGGTGGGGGAGAAGTCAGTTGATCTCCTTGCAGGGGAGTACAACCTCCCTCCCGTGATAGGCTACTGATGCAACCTGGTGGGGGTCAGTCTAATGGGGCAGGCGACTGTACACATCACAGCCAGACTCTAACACAGAGGCCACACATTGACAGGCATATCATTCCCCGCGAGTGTCCCTCCATGGATGTCCTTACACACCGTCTGGAAATCATTTTCAGTTTTCCCTATTGATTTTTTTCCTCTTTTTTTATTTCCTTGGGGAAATTGACTTAAAAGTCTCCTGTGGTCACTTGCGGAAATGCATGGTGCTAAATGACATCAGGATGACTGATATACCCAGCAAAATGTGCCAATATGCTGACCGCACACCCACACCAGACCGTGATATTACCGCAGAAGGGGCTGCAGGACGACTAGCACTGCCAGGCTTGCATTTGGATACAGCATTGCTCCACCCCTCCCATTCATGATTAGTTAAATGCCCTAAACCAATTTTCCTGTAATGTCCATATGCTATATCATTTGCATGGTCAAAGCCCATGTCTGCATTGACAGAGATACTATTCAGCACTTGATTTCATATTCAGTGTACTTATTGCACATTTTAGGTATGTAGTTTTTTTCTGCTAGAAATCCATCCTGTATTGTGTTAACTGTCCTGTATTACGCATCTAACTCTGCATTACATTTATATTGCACGCATCATGTGTTGTAGACCTTAAGCTGTGTGTTTACTCTGTATAGTGTAACTATTCCGTCTGCTGTTGTCTCTTGTAATAAAGCAATACACCAATAAAAATCTTCATCATTCTCGATCATATGGCACTGCAGATTCTACAATGCATTAGGCACACGCATTCTAATCAGGCTGCCCAACGCGCTAAGTACACATGCGGAAGACTGTTAACAAATTAGCCACACACTCTGCTCCCAGTCAAACGTTTCACTCTTCTATGTGTTTTCCCACATAATTAAATTAGATTAGATTATGATAATAATAATGCACTCATCAAGCCTGAAATGCCAGCAAAAGTCATTAGGTTCAGAGAGCAGGTCATTCATTCATCCATCAACTTCCTGTTCCTCTTACCTAACCGAAAGTGGCAGTAGACGTACAAACAAATATTATTTCATCCACTTCTCTTACCCGTGTATCTAACGGAGGATCACGGTGAGCCTGAAGCCTACCCAGAATGCACAGGGGCATGAGGCAGGGGAGATCCTCCGTTTTTGTTATTATGATTATCATCGTTGTTATCAGTAATATTATTACATCAGTAAAAGCAACTGGGGTGAATTACAACAGAACGGCAACACCTGACAGGGCGATTGAAGGATCAGATTTTAGCCTAGAAAAATGTAACATCTAAAACCAAATAAAGGATCATTTCAGGTCTATACGCACCCCTAAGCTGTGGGATGAAGTGGCAGGTGAATCATACCAGTAACTGATGGCACCGGCCCTTGTATATTCCATCCAGAACACAGAAATATCCCCATTATATAAAAATGCACATATCTACTCATGCTACTTATGACACAATGTTGACTTACCTCCACTTCCTTCATATGGGTGCAGGAAAAGAGAAAGAGAAGGAGAGAGATGGTTACAGGTGGCAGTGGAGCTGCAGGGGGTGCCTCGTGCTTTCAGCACAGTCTGCAGACAGGATGTCCTCAGCGGAGGTCAGCAGAACAGACTGGCGGAGGAACCAAGTCATCTGCCCTCCGTCGCCAGAGCACAACTCTCCAGATATCTCACCCTGTCATCAAGAAGTCCTCTATCTGCCAGGCCCCCCGCCCGAGGTTAGACTGTAGATAATCGTTCTCCCTTAAAACCAAACCCAGCGAAAAAGCTTGTACCGTCAATGGCCTTTTCGTGGAGGTTGCATATTAACAAAAATGAAAATAAACTGTAGATGTTGAGCCAATACGGTCACCCCAAGCAAGAAAACAGCGGAACAGCCAAATGGATGCTACGCCACATGACTGCTAATCGCAACAGCCAAAGACACTTGACAGGAAGAACTCACCAAAGGAGGGAGATACCCTGGAAGCCTCAGAGGCTTCTCACATGATGAGATCTTCTAAAGAAGTTCTACAGACCCCAGGTAAAGTCAGCAGCTCTTGTGTCCTACCGAATGCCTGGTGTTCCTTAAACATCCTAATATCCTCTTAATACATAAAAAATGCATATACCACGAAACATGGCACCACACTCTAGGTCCCTTCAACAATGACCCCAATGAGATGTTATATTCTACCCTGAAGCTTCCTGTTCCAGCAGCAGTTGCATCGATATTGTTGTATGAATTGTGTTTCATGTTAACAGCTGACGGAGTTAAAAAACAAAGGCACATTGGGTTTCACTGCGGTTGGGGCTATTTATCCATGTCATGGGAGAGCTTGCAGTGAAGACATCACATATGTGGGCTTTATAGATATGCAACTTATAATAGGCACTACACGGCCATCTCATTTCAGATGGGGCTTTTATTTATAGGACATCTAAAATGACCAACATCTCACTGCAAGAGGTCTCAATGGTTATCTCACTGCACAAGCAGTGCATGTCCACCACACTGTTCTAGTGCAGTGGATTATTTAGTGCAGCCGTCACTCCACAGGAATGAGGTACAGTTAAAAGGGGAAGCGGACGGCATCCAGCCTGTACATAGCATGATACCGTTTCAACCAATAGGAACATGCGGGATTAAATGACATAACGTGTTCTTTGCAATGAATGAGGAGACCATAAACGCAGTCAGAGATAAATGTTTTCTTTCACCCCAGACAAGTGACCTTCCTTTCGTTCCGCACACAAGTAATAAATAGATCAGCCGTGAAATATTCAGCCTAGGCCATCCATCTCCAATGAAAAGCCAGTTTAGTTAAACTGATTCCATTTCAAAAATAATTCCATTGCCTCAGAGAGACAGATGGTGATAATTTCCTCCTCTCCTTTGCGCCGTTCACTGCAAACTGCTGTGTTAAGACAACATGTAGGCTTTTTGGCCATGGTTTTAATGCAAAGTCCCATTACGGTGGCAGGAGGCAGGGCAAAACACTCCCATCGTTAATGACGCCCTCTAATTGCAATGGCAGGAACTGGCAGCATTAATCTTTCTGACCTCCCCATTTCCTTCCTTCCATTACGATTCATGCTCAAAAATCCCATGATTATAGTTGGACCCTGTCTATGCATGAATTATGCATGTGATTAACACTCTAGACACTTGTAAACAGTACTTTTCTTACTCGGGGAGCTTAATGTGACCTCGCTCTCAGCGCGGTAACTGCTTAAAAGCCGAACGGCTTTGCCAGATCACCCTACAGATGGATTGCTGGTGAAGGCTGGCCACGTCCCTTAGCCTCAGATCAAGGCCAAATCTCTTGCACACAGCTCCAAGGGCCACAGGAAGGGGCCGCGTCCCAGAGAATGCAGGAGTTCAGCTGTCATCCGAGTGACAGCAAAAGAAGAATGAGCTAGAAAATGACTGCCGCACTCAAAAACTGCCTGCGTGGCTTTCTGTGCTCGTGCATCTGCATATGTTAATGTAAAGAAGAGTTTTTGTTTACAGAGGGAGTGGATATGTGTGCTTTTAAAGTAAGTTGGTATATACTGTAGGAATGTGATTATGAGCTCAGGGGCCAGCGTGCTTGAGTATTTGTGTGTCTGCTCCTGGCAAATCCAGGCCACGGTTCTGGAAGCCGGCCCGTGCCATAGAGCAGACATCGGCTCCCATCTGCAGTTTTTATTAGGGCTCAATGACATTCTCCACCGGCAGATCGACAACGCCCTCCGGCGAGCGAGCAGCTGGCGGAGCTCAAACAAAAGGCAGCCCCCTTTGTCACTTGCTGACATCAATGAGTAAATCGAGAGAGATTTGCCATCTCAATACAAGCTCCCCGACTTTAAAGATTTTTGTTCAGGGGAATCATTTCTATGGAGAGCAAGTCAACCTGTGTGGTTCATCACCGGTCAGCAAGAGATACAAGCTTCAGTTCTGCTGGAGAAGGCTATAAAATAAACACCTGGGGAAATTATGAAAACAATTTATTTTTTAAAAGTATTATTAAGGAGGTGGTGAGTGGCTCTGTGCTTGTGATCCGAGGAACGCTGGTTTGAGTCCAGGCCTCCGCACAATAATCACAAGTCCACGGGACCTTAACCCCCAGTTCCAAGAGTGCTGCCCATTGGCTGACACTGTGCTGTGCCCCCCCCCCCAAGCCATAGAACGCAAGATGGGGTGGCCGAAGAGAAGAATTGCTATGTGTATGTACTCATACTTGTACAAATGGCAAATAAAGGATTTATTCACTTGAAAAGCTATTGCACCAACACGACCCAATCGCCTCTGAGGTGACAGTGAACCATAAATAAACCAGACAAGACTCAGTCCTGCAGATGTTACCACGCCTAATGGTTCTGGTCCTGTGACCGTCGGTGCTAGGCAGCTATACCAATGTCACGCTAAGCTCAACATGCCATCTGTCACGTCTCATCCATTAATTCATCAAATAAACGGCAGGCACCAGAGCTGGGGCAGAAGTCGAACCCACAGCCCTGGGGGAGTGACATCACAAAGGCACCTACTGAGTGCCTCGGCGCATCGAGGTTAAAAAGGTCCGTGTGAGTTACCGCCCCCCCAGCCCTGCTTCTCCCACTAGCCCCCCTGATGACAGCATCCTCATGGCTTTGCTCATGGGTCACATTAACATGTTATTTATTTTGCAAATGCTTTTATCCAAATAAATGTACATTTTTGTTTTCCAGAAAGCCGGGTCAGACGGCCCCTACAGCAATGGGGGTGAGGTTAAGGGCCTTAGTTAAGGGCTCAATGGTAAAACCCTGGGATTAGAATCAGCAACCTTCTGATCACAGCATCCCAACCCCCAACCTGCTGAGCCGCCCCCCCACCCCCTTGCCCCGAGCCACACATCGTCCCCCATCGTCCCCCATCGCCAGATTACGGTAATTCTTTGACAAGCTGCAGTACATTCATCCAAGAAAGAGATGAAAATGAAAGCCTTACATGAAAACTGAGAATTTGTTACAAGTCATGGTGACACAATTGGTTACTCACTGAAAAGATGTCGCGATTCTTGGATGACAGATCCGCGATGGCAAATGAATGGGATCTCCTTTTTGCGAGGTTGGGGGGGGGGCAGAGCTTCCTCCTTGGGAGTTCACACAGCGCTGCCAGCTTCCCCAGCTGTTTACGGGCAGTGTGCATCTCTCCAGGTGTTTACAGTGCAAGGTCAGATTATCGCACAGGGTCAGCTGTTTACAGCAGTTAGCAAAGCGGCCGTTTCCCCACATACGGGGCGAAACTGGCTGTCATAGCAATGCTTGTCTGCTTGCTCATCCATCATGGGTCATGACAGCACCTGGGGACCTGCAGAGGGGGGTGGGTGGGGGGGGGGAATAATCTGCCTGCACTTATGCACGGCAGGCCGGCAGATCAGCGCGCCACTCAGGCATAAACAGCAAGAGCTCCACTAGATCTCCGTTACTGCGAGACTGAAATCGCCTCAAATTCATTTGAGAGAGTTCTCTATGGGCCCCTCAAGACAAACGTAAATGTACAGGCAGCTACCTGGACACAAACTCATTATGGTCTGTATATCTTTCATCGGAGGTCAATAACCACTGCGGTTCTAGCCAACAGAAATAAAATGAAACCTTTCCTTATCTGTGCTTTTCTGTAAAAATAAAGGCAACACACTAAAGGGAGCAGTTTTTTTAAATTATGTTTCACTTAGTAAGACAGCATTTTTTAAAACATATTTATACATGTACATTTAGGGCAGGAGCAAAGCTTAGGAGAACATAACACCATGTGACTGATATTTCAAGGAGAAAATCACAAGGGCATTATTTTACCTCATGCTACCCCTGAAACGAGCACCAGGACTTGCCTGTGGAAAAAATGCACAGAAAGTGGGAAATGCAAAATCACCCCTTCAACAGTCACTATAACAACTATAGAAATACCACAGACAATAGAATGAAGAACAGTGGAGAGATTCTCATTACATCACTTTAAGAGAATGTTGGAAGCATTCGTTACCAAAGTACATCAATGAGATTTCTCCAGTCTGAGGTAAAAGTTATAAATAAGGCTGTGGATTTCAGTGAGTATATCCAAGTGCATGGTCCAATGAGGAGCAGAGATAAAGGCCATTAAAGGCTAAACCTGAGGAACATGGGTCATTGTGGAACGGTGACCAGGATACTGAACTGTGGACCTGAGGCACATGGGTCATTGTGGAACAGTAATCGGGATACTGAACTGTGGACCTGAGGAACATGGGTCGTTGTGGAACAGTGATCAGAATACTGAACTGAGGACCTGAGTCACATGGGTCATAGTGGAACAGTAATCGGGATACTGAACTGTGGACTTGAGGAACATGGGTCATTATGCATCAGGGATCAGGATATTGAGCTGTGGACCTGAGGAACCTGGGTCATTGTGGAACAATGCTCAGGACATTGAACTATAGAACAGAGTTTCATGGCTCACTGTGAAAGGGTGGTTATATACTGGAAACATGCACTT